TAGTTCAGTTCTAGTTCAGTTCTAGTTCAGTTCTAGTTCAGTCTAGTTCAGTTCTAGTTCAGTTCTAGTTCAGTTCTAGTTCAGTTCTAGTTCAGTTCTAGTTCAGTTCTAGTTCAGTTCTAGTTCAGTTCTAGTTCAGTTCTAGTTCAGTTCTAGTTCAGTTCTAGTTCAGTTTAGTTCAGTTCTAGTTCAGTTCTAGTTCAGTTCTAGTTCAGTTCTAGTTCAGTTCTAGTTCAGTTCTCAGTTCTAGTTCAGTTAGTTCAGTTCTAGTTCAGTTCTAGTTCAGTTCTAGTTCAGTTCTAGTTCAGTTCTAGTTCAGTTCTAGTTCAGTTCTAGTTTCAGTTCTAGTTCAGTTCTAGTTCAGTTCTAGTTCAGTTCTAGTTCAGTTCTAGTTCAGTCTAGTTCAGTTCTAGTTCAGTTCTAGTTCAGTTCTAGTTCAGTTCTAGTTCAGTTCTAGTTCAGTTCTAGTTCAGTTCAAGTTCAGTTTAGTTCAGTTCTAGTTCAGTTCTAGTTCAGTTCTAGTTCAGTTCTAATTCAGTTCTAGTTTAGTTTTAGTTCAGTTTCTAGTCATCGTTCATTTGGTTCTTACGCATTGTACTCCTTCCCCACCTGTCTTAAGAATCATCATCATTTTCAACAATCTAAGTCCATTCTAAAAACAAAATTTTCCATTTTCATACATTTTCACGTTCTATAACGATCATGACCACATAAAACTTGTTTTTTTGTTTTGTTTTTATATCATTTCGTATTCTTGGCCACTTGTTGTTTTTGGCATTTGTTGGCACTATCTATCGTTTCTGCTGAAAAACCAAACATTTCTATTCGTCATTTGAGCACGAAGTGAATGTATAAATTTGCAATTTCTTCATATTCTTCCCAGACCAGGTAACACGTAAACGCATCACGTACGAGTACAAAGTAGTTATTAGATGTCAGTGAACTGTTTTTTCCAAACGCTTCTAATATTCTCCCAAGTCCTGGGTTTTTTGTGCCGTTTCGTGAAATGTTTTTAATGTGTTGGTGTCGGTCGGTTGTAAAACGTTTAAATTGGATGTGACGGTTATGAAATTATCTTAATTGAAAACGTCGTTTTTTCCAAAGAAATAATAAAAACAAATGAACGTGGTCTTATTAATGATTGATGGTTTAGGGATTGGTTTGTCAATTGTCTGTACATAGAGAGAAAAATAGGGGAAGACAGAATAAGAGCATAGCACTGTCTTAACTGAAGTAGATCAGAACTAATTAGCATTGATTATTTAGTACTTATTTAGAACTGTACTAGAACTTCACTTAAACTTCAATGAATTTCAAATAAAATTGAACTAAAACTGAACTTAAACAGAACTAAATCTAAACTCTACTTTCTCCGAAAAACCGCCAAATTTGCCACACCTTCGCTAAAGTATCACTCACGTTTAGCCGAACAATAACAGTAAAAACAAAACATCAAAAAGATTTGTGAAATGAGTACATGTCAACTGAGAAGAAGATGAATATTTATTAATAAAATTAAAAAAGTTGTTGTTAGTTAAGCGTCGCACAAAGAAAGTCCAAATAAAGGTTTTTGTTGGACTTTGTTTGCATGGGAACCCATGTAACCTGAGCGTATTAAGACGAGTAGTGTGTGACAGCAGCAACGGTTAAAGTGATCAGCAACTTTAGCAGCAGCAACAACATCTTTAATAACAACAAAGACAACAACAAACAGCAGCAATGTTTTATAACAAGAACTTGGCGAAAGTCAACAAAAACAAAAAAACAATCAAAAAGATATTTATTTTTTTCAGTTATAGTAGAATGTTGTTGTAAGATTGTAAGAATTATATTTGGTTGGTGTTTTTGTTGGCAGTATAGGGTTTTCTAAGTTTAACTAGAACCTAGCTCAAGCAAAACTAGAACTGAACTAGAACTGAACTAGAACTGAACTAGAACTGAACTAGAACTGAACTAGAACTGAACTAGAACTGAACTAGAACTGAACTGAACTGAACTAGAACTGAACTGAACTAGAACTGAACTAGAACTGAACTAGAACTGAACTAGAACTGAACTAGAACTGAACTAGAACTGAACTAGAACTGAACTAGAACTGAACTAGAACTGAACTAGAACTGAACTAGAACTGAACTAGAACTGAACTAGAACTGAACTGAACTGAACTAGAACTGAACTGAACTGAACTAGAACTGAACTAGAACTGAACTAGAACTGAACTAGAACTGAACTAGAACTGAACTAGAACTGAACTAGAACTGAACTAGAACTGAACTGAACTAGAACTGAACTGAACTGAACTAGAACTGAACTAGAACTGAACTAGAACTGAACTAGAACTGAACTAGAACTGAACTAGAACTGAACTAGAACTGAACTAGAACTGAACTAGAACTGAACTAGAACTGAACTAGAACTGAACTAGAACTGAACTAGAACTGAACTAGAACTGAACTAGAACTGAACTAGAACTGAACTAGAAACTGAACTAGACTGAACTAGAACTGAACTAGAACTGAACTAGAACTGAACTGAACTAGAACTGAACTAGAACTAGAACTGAACTAGAACTGAACTAGAACTGAACTGAACTAGAACTGAACTAGAACTGAACTAGAACTGAACTAGAACTGCACTAGAACTGAACTAGAACTGAACTAGAACTGAACTAGAACTGAACTAAACTGCACTAGAACTGAACTAGAACTGAACTAGAACTGAACTAGAACTGAACTAGAACTGAACTAGAACTGAACTGAACTAGAACTGAACTAGAACTGAACTAGAACTGAACTAGAACTGAACTAGAACTGAACTAGAACTGAACTAGAACTGAACTAGAACTGAACTAGAACTGAACTAGAACTGAACTAGAACTGAACTAGAACTGAACTAGAACTGAACTAGAACTGAACTAGAACTGAACTAGAACTGAACTAGAACTGAACTAGAACTGAACTAGAACTGAACTAGAACTGAACTAGAACTGAACTAGAACTGAACTAGAACTGAAGTAGAACTGAACTAGAACTGAACTAGAACTGAACTAGAACTGAACTAGAACTGAACTAGAACTGAACTAGAACTGAACTAGAACTGAACTAGAACTAAACTAGAACTGAACTAGAACTGAACTAGAACTGAACTAGAACTGAACTAGAACTGAACTAGAACTGAACTAGAACTGAACTAGAACTGAACTAGAACTGAACTAGAACTGAACTAGAACTGAACTAGAACTGAACTAGAACTACTAGAACTGAACTAGAACTGAACTAGAACTGAACTAGAACTGAACTAGAACTGAACTAGAACTGAACTAGAACTGAACTAGAACTGAACTAGAACTAGAACTGAACTAGAACTGAACTAGAACTGAACTAGAAATGAACTAGAACTGAACTAGAACTGAACTAGAACTGAACTAGAACTGAACTAGAACTGAACTAGAACTGAACTAGAACTGAACTAGAACTGAACTAGAACTGAACTAGAACTGAACTAGAACTGAACTAGAACTGAACTAGAACTGAACTAGAACTGAACTAGAACTAAACTAGAACTGAACTAGAACTGAACTAGAACTGAACTAGAACTGAACTAGAACTGAACTGAACTGAACTAGAACTAGAACTGAACTGAACTAGAACTGAACTGAACTAGAACTGAACTAGAACTGAACTAGAACTGAACTAGAACTGAACTAGAACTGAACTAGAACTGAACTAGAACTGAACTAAAACTGAACTAGAACTGAACTAGAACTGAACTAGAACTGAACTAGAACTGAACTAGAACTAGAACTGAACTAGAACTGAACAGAACTGAACTAGAACTGAACTAGAACTGAACTAGAACTGAACTAGAACTGAACTAGAACTGAACTAGAACTGAACTAGAACTGAACTAGAACTGAACTAGAACTGAACTAGAACTGAACTAGAACTGAACTAAACTGAACTAGAACTGAACTAGAACTGAACTAGAACTGAACTAGAACTGAACTAGAACTGAACTAGAACTGAACTAGAACTGAACTAGAACTGAACTAGAACTGAACTAGAACTGAACTAGAACTGAACTAGAACTGAACTAGAACTGAACTAGAACTGAACTAGAACTGAACTAGAACTGAACTAGAACTGAACTAGAACTGAACTAGAACTGAACTAGAACTGAACTAGAACTGAACTAGAACTGAACTAGAACTGAACTAGAACTGAACTAGGACTCAACTAGAACTGAACTAGAACTGAACTAAGACTGAACTAGAACTGAACTAGAACTGAACTAGAACTGAACTAGAACTCAACTAGAACTAAACTAGAACTGGACTAGAGCCGAACTAGAACTGAACTATAATGCTCTTTTCGATCTTTCCCAACTAAAAAGATCCCTTCTAAATATTTTCCCTGTTCTGCAAACCCTTAACCTCGCAATGCATATGCTCACGATGAAGATGATGATGTTCACTTTTAAATGGTCAAGTTTTCATTACAATTTGGTTTTTTTCTCATCATGATCATTTCAATGGAAGTTTGGTCACATTGTAAGTCTCACTTTGTAAGAGTGACTGACAAACTAACTGAATGAGTGGTAGGTGAGGTGAGTGTATTGCGTGCGTTTGTATGTTAGATGTGTGTGTCTTTATTTTTTTTTGAACTGACTATAGAACGTTAAAAACGAAGTGTTAACTTGGCTAACAACAGTTAAAGCTATTCAGTTGTTTACAGCTTGAGCGCGAGTTAAGAACGTTTTATCGTATTGTGTGTGAGTGCGAAAGAAGTAAATAAATATTGTTGGTCGGGAAGAAAAAGAAAGAAAGTTGGTTAAATTTGAAAAAATATATATTGAACCGAGAGAAATTTTAGTGTAAATTAAAACAAAGAAATATCGCGAGTTAAAACAACAACAAAGAAAAATGCGCTGCTTGATATTATATGCAGCGCTTTTAGGTGCTGTAGCAGGTTATACAACAATTTCACTTCCTTGCCGCCTGAAATTACTACAAGGTTAGATACTACAGAGGCACCAACTTCATCATCTTTAGGACCATCTTCAACTGGCGCCACCTCTACAACCCCATCGAATCTATCGAGGAAGTGGTGTCCGAATTGCCGGTTTCTTTACCGCCCATTCTGGAGGAGGTGGATCTGCCTAGTATTCCACATCGCCGTATGGTAACCTACGATCAACGTCAAGAGGGCCAGTATAATATACGTGCTGATTTGGATAATTTTATGATTGTTTAATACCCCCAGGACCCTCAGAGGGTATGGGCCTTTTGGATTTACTTACAAAATCTTCCTTAAGACGAACCTCTCATACTTCCAAAATAAAAAGAAACTTTATTCTACAGCCACTGGCTTGAAACCAGATGCTTTGAAACATTTAAATTACTTCAGAAACCATGATCAACACTTGGGAGCATCGAGAGCAGGAGAATTTATTGATGGTCGTACTCCCTATCATGTGGATTATGCTTCTCTTAATGAAGAAGAAATACAACCACGTTTAAATCCCGATCGTCAAGTAGATGTTTTGCCCCCTTCCTATCCCGTGCCTATCAGCATTTAATGAAACCTTATCATTTAGAAGCTGAGTCCTCTCTACTACCACCCTCGGAAATAGGTCTACAGCATAATACAGGTAAAGTGTTGACAATACCATAGACTACTCCCCTCTCCTTTTGCTTAAATCCTATTAACCTAAAACAAATAAATGTATTTGAACAGATTCTAACCCATCCCAAAATGCCGGCTATTATCGCTTTGCCCGCTACATAAGAGGTGACAATTTTTGGATTCAATCGTGTTACCTCTTTCCAATCGTTTAGGTTCTCCAGGCACCTCCTACCGCAGACAACAGTTACCCATGTATCGTTCTGATCTGTCGATGGGCGCTGCTCAATTATATCCTCCTCTAGATGTGCCACAGTTCAATTATCATATGGCCCGTAATTTTGGTTCAAAATCATCAGCCTCGCCCGAAGATATCGATAGCAAACAATCTTTGGATTCTGATTTGGTTACAGTGAAATTATTATACCACCCGCCCATTTACCCTTGGAGGATGACTTAGAATTGGCCTTAAACGATGACAGTCTATTGGAGGGTGAGGCCAAGGCTTTACTCAGCGATGGCATTGAACGTTGTGCTCCCGGTAAGCGACGTGATAGTTATGGTGGTGTGCCGGGAAATTGAGGGTTATTAGTAAGGGATATATAAAATTTTTTGGTTTTCTTAATTTAAGTTACGAACAAAACCGACTGCATTAGTTGTTTAGTTAATAGTTTAAGGTTTTTTTATTACTGCATAAGCCATAAATTTTATAATAATGAATTCTTTTACATTTTAGTAAAATTTAAATGAGTGTTTAGTATGTAAGTGAAAACAATTTATTTAAATAATAAAATTATGAATAATTTAAAAAATAATAATAAAAACGTGTGAACAATTAATAAAAATTTAGAAAATATTTTCAAATGAAGCAACGTTTAAAAAAAATAATTAATAAATTTGAAGAAAAAGTCGTAGTTGCAAAAACTATTTTTGAATTACAAAAAAAAAAAAAAAAAAAATTATAATAATTTAAAAAAACTGTTTTTAATTTTAAACAAATATATTTTTTTAATGAAATATAAATTTTTTTATTTTTTCTAATAAAAAAATTATTTAAATTTTCTACAAAAAATTTTATTTCGTTAAAAAAATGAAGTGTTCGTTCAGTTCTATAATGGAACTATAACAGAACTACAACAGGACTAGAACAAAACTAGAACTGAACTAGAACTGAACTAGAACTGAACTAGAACTGAACTAGAACTGAACTAGAACTGAACTAGAACTGAACTAGAACTGAACTAGAACTGAACTAGAACTGAACTAGAACTGAACTAGAACTGAACTAGAACTGAACTAGAACTGAACTAGAACTGAACTAGAACTGAACTAGAACTGAACTAGAACTGAACTAGAACTGAACTAGAACTGAACTAGAACTGAACTAGAACTGAACTAGAACTGAACTAGAACTGAACTAGAACTGAGAACTGAACTAGAACTGAACTGAACTGAACTAACTAACTGATAGAACTGAACTAGAACTGAACTAGAACTGAACTAGAACTGAACTAGAACTGAACTAGAACTGAACTAGAACTGAACTAGAACTGAACTAGAACTGAACTAGAACTGAACTAGAACTGAACTAGAACTGAACTAGAACTGAACTAGAACTGAACTAGAACTGAACTAGAACTGAACTAGAACTGAACTAGAACTGAACTAGAACTGAACTAGAACTGAACTAGAACTGAACTAGAACTGAACTAGAACTGAACTAGAACTGAACTAGAACTGAACTAGAACTGAACTAGAACTGAACTAGAACTGAACTAGAACTGAACTAGAACTGACTAGAACTGAACTAGAACTGAACTAGAACTGAACTAGAACTGAACTAGAACTGAACTAGAACTGAACTAGAACTGAACTAGAACTGAACTAGAACTGAACTAGAATGAACTAGAACTGAACTAGAACTGAACTAGAACTGAACTAGAACTGAACTAGAACTGAACTAGAACTGAACTAGAACTGAACTAGAACTGAACTAGAACTGAACTAGAACTGAACTAGAACTGAACTAGAACTGAACTAGAACTGAACTAGAACTGAACTAGAACTGAACTAGAACTGAACTAGAACTGAAGAACTAGAACTGAACTAGAACTGAACTAGAACTGAACTAGAACTGAACTAGAACTGAACTAGAACTGAACTACAACTGAACTAGAACTGAACTAGAACTGAACTACAACTGAACTACAACTGAACTAGAACTGAACTAGAACTGAACTAGGACTGAACTAGAACTGAACTAGAACTGAACTAGAACTGAACTAGAACTGAACTAGAACTGAACTAGAACTGAACTAGAACTGAACTAGAACTGAACTAGAACTGAACTAGAACTGAACTAGAACTGAACTAGAACTGAACTAGAACTGAACTAGAACTGAACTAGAACTGAACTAGAACTGAACTAGAACTGAACTAGAACTGAACTAGAACTGAACTAGAACTGAACTAGAACTGAACTAGAACTGAACTAGAACTGAACTAGAACTGAACTAGAACTGAACTAGAACTGAACTAGAACTGAACTAGAACTGAACTAGAACTGAACTAGAACTGAACTAGAACTGAACTAGAACTGAACTAGAACTGAACTAGAACTGAACTAGAACTGAACTAGAACTGAACTAGAACTGAACTAGAACTGAACTAGATGAACTAGAACTGAACTAGAACTGAACTAGAACTGAACTAGAAACTGAACTAGAACTGAACAGACTTAACTAGAACTGAACTAAGAACTGAACTAGAAGAACTGAACTGAACTAAAACTGAACTAGAACCTGAACTAGAACTGAACTAGAACTGAACTAGAACTGAACTAGAACTGAACTAGAATTGAACTAGAACTGAACTAGAACTGAACTAGAATCTGAACTAGAACTGAACTAGAACAGAACTAGAACAGAACTAGAACAGAACTAGAACAGAACTAGACAGAACTAGAACAGAACTAGAACAGAACTAGAGCAGAAACTAGAACAGAACTAGAACAGAACTAGAACAGAACTAGAACAGATCTATAACAGAACTAGAACAGAACTAGAACAGAACTAGAACAGAACTAGAACCAAAACTAGAACAAAACTAGAACAGAACTAGAACAGAACTAGAACAGAACTAGAACTGAACTAGAACTGAACTAGAACTGAACTAGAACAGAACTAGAACTGAACTAGAACTGAACTAGAACTGAACTAGAACTGAAACTAGAACTGAACTAGAACTGAACTAGAACTGAACTAGAACTGAACTAGAACTGAACTAGAACTGAACTAGAACTGAACTACAACTGAACTAGAACTGAACTAGAACTGAACTACAACTGAACTACAACTGAACTAGAACTGAACTAGAACTGAACTAGGACTGAACTAGAACTGAACTAGAACTTGAACTAGAACTGAACTAGAACTGAACTAGAACTGAACTAGAACTGAACTAGAACTGAACTAGAACTGAACTAGAACTGAACTAGAACTGAACTAGAACTGAACTAGAACTGAACTACAACTGAACTAGAACTGAACTAGAACTGAACTGACTAGAACTGAACTAGAACTGAACTAGAACTGAACTAGAACTGAAACTAGAACTGAAACTAGAAACTGAACTAGACTGAACTAGAACTGAACTAGACTGAACTAGAACTGAACTAGAAACTGAACTAGAACTGAACTAGAACCTGAACTAGAACTGAACTAGACTGAACTAGAACTGAACTAGAACTGAACTAGAACTGAACTAGGAACTGAACTAGAACTGAACTAGAACTGAACTAGACTGAACTAGACTGAACTAGAACTGAACTAGAACTGAACTAGAACTGACTAGAACTGAACTAGAACTGAACTAGAACTGAACTAGAACTGAACTAGAACTCGAACTAGAACTGAACTAGCACTGAACTAGAACTGACCTAGAACTGACTAGAACTGAACTTAAACTGAATAGAACTGAACTAGAACTGAACTAGAACTTAACTAGAACTGAACTAGAACTGAACTAGAACTTGAACTAGAACTGAACTAGAACGAACTAGAACTGAACTAGAACTGAACTAGAAACTGAACTAGAACTGAACTAGAACTGAACTAGAACTGAACTAGACTGAACTAGAACTGAACTAGAACTGAACTAGAACTTAACTAGAACTGAACTAGAACTGAACTAGAACTGAACTAGAACTGAACTAGAACTGAACTAGAACTGAACTAGAACTGAACTAGAACTGAACTAGAACTGAACTAGAACTGAACTAGAACTGAACTAGAACTGAACTAGAATTGAACTAGAACTGAACTAGAACTGAACTAGAACTGAACTAGAACTGAACTAGAACTGAACTAGAACTGAACTAGAACAGAACTAGAACAGAACTAGAACAGAACTAGAACAGAACTAGAACAGAACTAGAACAGAACTAGAACAGAACTAGAGCAGAACTAGAACAGAACTAGAACAGAACTAGAACAGAACTAGAACAGAACTAGAACAGATCTATAACAGAACTAGAACAGAACTAGAACAGAACTAGAACAGAACTAGAACAAAACTAGAACAGAACTAGAACAGAACTAGAACAGAACTAGAACAGAACTAGAACTGAACTAGAACAGAACTAGAACTGAACTAGAACTGAACTAGAACTGAACTAGAACTGAACTAGAACTGAACTAGAACTGAACTAGAACTGAACTAGAACTGAACTAGAACTGAACTAGAACTGAACTAGAACTGAACTAGAACTGAACTAGAACTGAACTAGAACTGAACTAGAACTGAACTAGAACTGAACTAGAACTGAACTAGAACTGAACTAGAACTGAACTAGAACTGAACTAGAACTGAACTAGAACTGAACTAGAACTGAACTAGAACTGAACTAGAACTGAACTAGAACTGAACTAGAACTGAACTAGAACGGAACTAGAACTGAACTAGAACTGAACTAGAACTGAACTAGAACTGAACTAGAACTGTACTAGAACTGTACTAGAACTGAACTAGAACTAGACCACAATTGAACCAAAACTAGACCAGAATTGAACCAGAACTGAACTAAAACTGAACAAGAACTCAATTGGAACTGAACTATAACTGAAATATAACTAAACCCGAATTGAACCAGAACTGAACTAGAACTGAACGAGAACTCTTTAAAGGGGCTTGTGCAATTTTTGCATGACAAATCAAATTGACGCCATACTATTTCCGTTTTGACAGTTTCCCGTAAATATCAGTTTGTCTGTATAAATAATTAGTAGGTAAGTGTTTCATTAATATGATTTAAATATTAATATCTGTTTATTTATTTAAATTGTTGGTTTGGCAAGAACTCTTCTTAAAGTAATATTCTTTTACAACCATGACAAATTTTCTAAACCTGTTGGAAATTATAATAAAATAAAAACAATTATTTACGGTTATTGAAATCGTATAATATAAATAGTAATTATATTTATATAAAATATTAATATGTTAAATGCTTGACTTATTTTTCAAAAAAAGTTCTATTTTTTCTCCAACATAAACAATTTTCTAATTGAGTGATTTTAAGTGATTGCCCGGCAGTGTTTTAAATTTAGATGCTACAGATCTAACGTGAAAGAAGTTTGAAGTCCCCCAATATAGAGTACCTTGGGTACTTAAATTATTTTATTTCGTGTTTATGATATTTTTTTCCAAACTTAACATTAGATAGTGAGAGAATGAGATGAATGATTCCAAGTCTAGCAGGGTGTATATTAGTTTTAATTTCTCTAATATCTCACATACTTTT